TATTTGCTATCTACTGTACTGTGGTATTACAGTTGCAGGTCCCTTAAATAGAAATATGTTCAACCCCCCCCACACACACACACATACCCACATAAATATGAACTAACAATTTCACTGTTGGACTCGCCGGCGGCTAGAGAGCAAAGGATTAATTTATAGCAAAGAAAAGGACCAGGGAACTACAAGTTACGCTATAATGTCCACGAACAATTTCACTGTATTTGAAATAATTTTGTTTGATACCCTGAAAACTCTGAAACTTTGCAGCACTGTGGATTATATGTGGATGCAACATGTATGGAAGGAACACATAGTTCAAATAATTATAGCACTGAATAGTTGAGATTGTGAGCACATTCCAATCAGTACTCTACATATTTATAAGCGGTGGCAATCGTTAGGAATAGGTCGGGAGTTGTCAGAGTGCCCTAGTATATGAGAGAATGTTTTGTTTGTCTAATCGACGGCTCGTTTGAAGCCAGAGTTGTTTGAACTTGTTTCAGTCGACTTGATTCTACGTCGAAGGAGTGCTATGAAGTAAACACCAGGCGTAGTCTGTAAGGTATCTCGTGAGAATTCTGTCGGTACACATCAGGTATCAGCTTGCAAAGATGGCTCCTCTCTGTTTCTTGAAAGCCTGTATAGTTGAACTGTGGCTCCAGCGACTCCCTTCTCAGAGCAGGTACCATACCCAATACGGTCAATGCATATTGGACAGACCTGTGTGCACAACAGAAATAGTAGAGAGAAATCTCTCAGCTCATGAACACATCAGTGAAGTTTGAACTGCCGTTGTTTGTGGCCATCAGTATAAACCTATCGACTATAAGAATAATGTGCAAAAAACCCTCTATAACTACAGCTGGGGCCATGGAATTATAAAGCAACTAGCTTAGGGAACTGCCAATTCTAGTCGGAGTTGCGTTCGAGGCCTGCAATTCATGATGGCTATCGTATGTTGCATTGACCAGAGATCATATAAAACTTCCATGCCACATGGAAACACGCACTACTTTCGAGTACTTTGGTATCCCCCACCAAATGGGCATTCGTTCCCGGGGTGGCGGGCGTCAACATTCGTTATGCCTGGATCAGATTTCATTGACCCCAACAGTCATGAAGAATCATTTTTACTTTGACTTGATTTCAGTGCAAGTTAGTTGTAGAACTGCAGAATAAATTTTGTTGTATTTGGGCAACCATTTCTCTACAAACGCTCTATTAGGAATTTTTTTAAATAAAATACATGTCCAAATTCCACATCTACCCAAATCGGAATACTTGATCACGTATTCAGTCCTACACGGAATGTTTAGAAAACGCCAGGGAATAGGAATTTGCTAACGAGAACTCCAGGCCAGGGTACTAGCATACGAACAAAACAAGATAAAAACTCACCAGTATACTTGTAGTAATTCATGTCGGTGTAATATTCACGATAAGCAACGAGGCACCCTCCGATTTGGTCAAGCTGCTTTGAAGTCTGGTTGTTCAGGTGATACAAACGGGCTCCCCGTTGTTACTTCCAGCAGCTTCACTCTCCCTGCGACAGTGGCTATCAGCCTCTCTCTCCATCGTCGACAATTATCACAGATTCAACATTCTACATTCATCAGCACTGCACTGGGTGAATATGTCTCGAGACGAATTTAGCGGATCAACAACGCTTTGATGGAGATGAATTCTCCTCTGGAGGACCTTCAGGGTACCTGGAAGGGTATAGAAGACGGGATCGCTCACGGCGTTGGGAGAACATAGCAAACAACCTCTTCTTCGATTGAAAATTGGCCAAAAAGTGTGTGAAATGTATGTGCGCAGATGCATTTCCACTGGCAAGCTAATCCCTCATTACGTCATCAGCGCTCGCTCGGCTGAAATTCAAAAGTCGTCTTCCTGCTCGACTCGATCGCTTCTGGAGACTCGTTCTTGTTCGAGGGGTCTTCTCTTTCACCTACCTTCGTCTTGGCATCGAAAACTCGGCGTCGAAAATGAAGCCGGAGTGCCCCTTTAACTCGTATCCTTATGTCCTTTTCCTTTCTACAATAATAATAATAATAATAATACTTGGTCCGACTTATTAAAATGTGCGTTTCGATTCGAACGTCAACCAAACAAATTCAAATAACCTCAGGACGGAATAAACTATCCAGCTACCTAACACTATCCTCCAGTTGTCAATTTGTGATGTTGAAGAAGAAATGGTTCCAACTCCAACGGAGGCAGCGGCTTGAGATCCTAGTCGACTCGAGCATTTTACGTCCAAATTTTGTCGTCAGAGGACTCCCGTTGCTTGTCGCGCAGCACAGAGAAGGCCTGGTGCTGAAATCAGCACCCCGCTGCGATCGGGGATTGTCACAGAGTACCAGAATCTCCTGGGCGATCGTTCTCGAGTGCCTCCTGGCGGATTGAAATCGCTGCAATCGCTGTTTCCTTGGCAGAATTTCAGCAAACGCGTCATCCAGAAACTCGTGCAGAAAGCACCAGCATCGCTCCGTCCAGTTTGCTGATCTCTCTCGCAGTCGTTCACGATGTGGCGGCCGACGAATCAAGATCACAGAAGAGATCGGCGAGAAGTTGATCGAAATAAATAACCGGCCTTGAGGTCGACTTTCAGGCGACAACCTGGCTGGAAAACTGAAGCGCAGAAAGGGTGAATTATCCGGCGGATACGGTGCGGAGTCCTCGGATCCGCGCGCGGAGCCGCGATTGCGATGCGTCACAAGATCGCCAGTCTCCGGGGCCAGTGGATTCGTGAAACAGGCAGGGAAGAGCACGCGTAGACCTACGCATGGTCTGACTGCATGACATGTCGACACAGCTCAGACTCAGTACGCGCACGGTACACGGTGGTCAGAAGTGATTTTTTATGCGTGGTGGTTTACTTGTTCGCCTCATTTGAAGGTGTCGTGGGAGCTTCAGGCGAAAACACCTACAGCCGCCATTCTGATAGTCGTACTACACGAGGAGGAGGCGAAGTCGATCGTGTAAATCGGGCCTATGGAGTGAAAAAATCAAAGAAGCGCAGTGTTGCTTGGAGGAGATGAAAAAAATGTCAACGTTTTGCAGGTTGACGCACTTGCAGATCCGCCCTGAGACACCAGCAGAGATGAAAACTAGAAGGTCAGGCCGAGAAACGACACAGTAGTTATCTATCTACCGTCTCTTGGTTGATTTTTTAGTACAGTTGCTCGTTTGTACATATGCTTGAGTTTTGAAGTGAAGCGCACATTTTTAATAAGTCGGACCAAGTAATAATAATAATAATAATAATAGCTACAAGCGAGGGTCCCTGGTTCGAGTCCTGGTGGTGACAGTCAATTTTTTTCTTCAGACTTTTCCCGTTTGTCTCTTTCCCTCAAACTAGTGAAAATGTTATGACTTGGGGCTCCCCGCGTGCTAGAATGTACGTGAAGTGTGTGGGTACAGTGAGGGCTGCGTCCCACCCGCCTGTGTGGATACACAGGAAGTGTGAGTTACGAAGTCTGAAGAAAATGTTGAACAGTCTCTGCTGGGATGACGACTACACCATAGCTCAGTGGTTAGAGCATCGCTAGCTACAAGCGAGGGTCCCTGGTTCGAGTCGTGATGACAGTCAATTTTTTCTTCAGACTTTTCCCGTTTGTCTCTTTCCCTCAAACTAGTGAAAATAATAATAATAATAATAATAATAATACCACAGCACGCGTACAAAGCTTTAAAGGCCAAAGAACAATGCATGAGACTACACTGAAATTAAGCCAAGTCCGCTTCTGTCTCCAGTCAACAAAAACTCATCCATAAACAATGTCTGATCTCCATTTCGACTTGTCTGCAGCAAATGCTCGTGCTCCTTGTAGGTCGCTGGCATTCTGCAAACCATGCTGACCAATGATTAAAATTAAAATACATTCAATAATGTGTTACGAGAACAAAATATAGTTGAATAAGGGAAGGTGAGACAATAGAAGTGAAGTGAGAGCTAAGTGCAACGGGGGTGAGAAACTAACTGTAACGCTACAACTGTGTAGTGAGACAAACAATCATGCTGTGCACCTACGAAAACAATCTTAACGCAACTACATGTTTCTTCTGCTTACAAAGATCAGGCTTATGCAAACGAATACAAACCGCCTCCAAAATGTCAAGGAACGAACTACATGTCAGCAGAATGCATACTCGCTCATTTCTCGTCTGCCTTCAGACTCATTTCAGAGAAATGGTAGATCAACGATAGTTACGATAATGTGCTTCCATTTTCAGTGCACTGGAATGATATAATTATGATACACGCACGAAACAGGCCACTGGCACTGTCACAGCAGGAAGGGATGTACGAGTTTGCTGTCGCTGCACTTCTGGTCCTTTTTTGGTGGTTTTTGCGCAAGAACTCTCCAATTTTAAGTCGGGATAGAACCTTTTGAGTTTTTATAAAAATATAGATGCGACTTAAGCAACTAGCACTTGTTTTGACACGGTTGCGAGAAGCATATGTTCCGAAAAATTATGGGATCTTTCAGGAAGATCTACTCACAGGTGTGCTGATGGCACTAGCCTGGACCTACGCGCTTGGTGCCTCATGGTAGCATGCATGTGCACTACAGATGTTGGGGCCAATGTTAAATTAACATGTGCCGTGCCTCTAGCATAGCATTGGCCCGATTTTTGTATCTTGTGGCGGCTGAATCCTGACCTCATGCTCCGTGTTCTGTCGTTGTGTGTCACAGGCACAGCGTTCTGCCAGAGCCGGGGTACTAGGGGTGTGGCTGGCCTCATGCTCAGCGATATCACATTCAATAATCCTACCATTCTCACATTTCGGAGTTTGCTGTTTTTCTAGTTATGTTCATCAGCTAGAGCATGGCCGAGCGTCTTTTAGACTGCGTACCTCACACCTATGTACATACATAGTACTAGAGCGTACATGTGCATACATGCATTACGTATCGCTATGTTCTCCTTCGCAACATGTTAGGGAGCCTGGCGCAGGCATGCTCCCTATTTGGCACTCCGCTATCGACAAGTCGCCGATATCGTCGTCGCCATTACTTTTTACCGGAAGGAGAACCACCAAAATTTCGAATAATTTCAATCAACTTCAAAACAAAACGGTGAGTAAAACCCATTTTTTTGTGTGTGTTGACCTGGTGTGCGGTCTGCTTGGCGGGTCAGTGCGATTTTAAAGTTAGTACAAGGCCTTTTAGCCATTGTAACTGAATTACTGTCTCGCAGTCTTATCCACTCACCCCACCATTAGGCGCTGCATTTTCCGCTAGGGTTTAATGGTTGCTAGAGGCCGTCGTGAGTTCCCTGCGGGAATGGACACGATAATTTACGTTGCTTACCAAAATTGCATTACCTCGACCTTGGCCAGGAGCATGCGCTGTCTTATAAGCCATCTAGTGTTGGCATGCGTAGCATTGAACGGCTCGGTAGTCTTACGTTGAGTAGCACTGGCACTGTACACGGCCTCCGGCAGTTAGTCAAACGATCACGGCTGCATGCAGCACCCAACGCATTCACAATGTTCTGGACGGCGCCGGCGACCCAAAAATATTACAGGTTGAAGTGATGGCAAAGCTTCAAAAATACTGGAATGTAGTGATATTAATTCTTAAACATGAAGAAATACTTTTAAATTTTTTACTCGGATACTGAGCCAATAACAAACGTTAAAAAGGAGAAAACAAATGAGAAAGAGTAATGCAGCAACTATCCACGACAGTAACAAGAACAGGAACAGCTTGTGCGCATTTTCGCGGCGCTCACCTTCCCCTCTTCGGTCCTGCGTAACCATGATCTTTCCAATTTGGAGGGCTGTTGGCTTGCGCACTGGAGATGAGTTAGAGCTAGGTCTCAGGTCGCTAAATGTCTCAGTAGCCTGTCAGTTTTGCGCCCTATTATCGCACTTTCCGACTGTTGATCATCTTGTTACAGTCGTGGATAGTTGGTGCATAACTCGTTCTCATGTGTTTCCTCATGTTTTTTATACTTTTGAAGTAGCAATACTTGTACGAATGCGTCATCCTCAAGCCAAGCATAATCAGAACCACCGCCGTCACAGATCTGTGCATGAAACCAACTTCGCTTGGTGATTTAAGCCTCCAGTCTGGAGTAGTTCAACTTTTGAATCCAGTACACATCGCCAATTGCAATCTTGATTTGATAACCAATATTTTAATAGACGATATCAGATCATCTGGCGAACATTTTCACTTTCGTAACCTGTCTAGAACACACTTTCAACCTTGCGAACCACCTCTACTAATTAATGAAAGCACGCGCATCGCTGGTTTACGACCGCTAGCGTATACCGCAAGCTGACTGAGCAAGTGAATGGGGGGGGGGATATTAATTAAGTGGAGTGGTCAACACTAATAAGGCCGGTGGACGCTCGCAGCGAAGTGCTCAATGCACACAATGAATATGAAATCGGTGAGTGGCAAGTCCAGCTGTCCGATGATAGCTGAAATGCGTGAAACATACAGTAGAGCTACAGAGGCTTTCGCCTTCGTTGTTTATGTAAGTGGTGTTATATGTAGAGAGCACCATGTCCGGTTCGCTCGGGCGTTTTCCTGAAGGCAATCACAGCTTACCAAGTGTTGGAAAAGAGCCAACAAATACGAGACTAACAACCCATCGATGTGTTCTCCGTATCAACAAACAATTGGAATGATACGTTATGAGTAATACACATGACGACTCTTACACGGATACTACTACTAGTACGGCAATATACTATTCGAGTATGGCCAAGTCACTTACACTCAAATCCAGAATAATAGCGTGCCAGGAATCACATACAGTAGAGGCATTCACGGAAATTCAAGGACAAACTTTACTACGCGCCTTGACCGCATGGTAGGAAACTGAAACCAGCTGTGCGCCTTTATCCAGCAAAATAGCCAAGCCCAAATTCCAACACGAATTGCAACAAAACAGTGCTACCGTCCATGTCGCAAACTTTCAGGACGTAAAGGTCAAGCGAGAACCACTGCTGATACAAAGTCTTCTACCATTGTGCAATATCACTGCATGTTGAAGATGGAATATGGAAAGAGTTCAGAGGATTACATGAATGTTGCTTGTCCAACACCAACATTATTTTATTACTTCAGAAGTATAAGCATGATACTGATGAGTCAAAACTTGCAACGATTAGCACAACGCTGATCGATGTGATTCTTACATTCAAGGATCAGGTCATTGAATGTCAGTCATGGTTGTTCTTATGGATGCACGTTCTGCCACTTGTAACGGCAAACAACGGAACACCAATACGTTGGCGATCTTCTTTGGCACAACACAAACGAGAGCACTAAGCACAGAGGCCTCTGTTGCATTCAGCACGATTCGTTTGCTCTCGATAACTGATAGTACATGTGTTACCATTAACCAATTATTATCATGCGCCCACCCTCAAGAGCAGTGATAGGAAAGTCATGGCGGATATTTCCAGTGTCTTCTTCGCTGCTTGTCAAAGAACTCATCATTTATGTGGTCCTTCCAGCCGCAGCTAGGATATGGCGGATGGTATAAATTCTGATAGGAAGGAGAATGTTGGAATCTGGTCGAGCTTAGACTAAAGCATACTGGTCCAGCATGGAGCAAAAACTAGTGCATGTGTATGACCCATTGACAGTTAGCACGTGAGCACTTGGAGGTGGCCGACCATGATCACACAACTTGGAATGCTCCATATTCCACACGTGTCATGCAGCACATTACGTTTGTACGGGAAGAACCTGTCACCTACACGTATCTTGTAGACTTCTTTTGCTTTCTATGCACAGACGCAGTAAGTAGGCTTAGATTCTGCGAAAGTGCTCAATACCTGATGCAGGCAGAGCGGTGCACACAAAGGCACACAATGAAACCCTTGGGCAAATTCCGTTGTAACTAGTTCCATGGCTGAGCCAATCATCAGATATCGATAGTGTGTATGCAGCTTTGCTTTCTATGTGCACCCTATCACGTTTGCGCACTTCTCTTTGTTCTGTATTTCCAAGATGGCACGCAGGAATCCAATATGATTCAAATTATTCCAGAATCATATAAAATCAGTCTAGATAGTAAGGAAACCAACACATTGCAGGGGAATGGGGTTACGATACACTTCAAATGCAAGGAGCGAAGTTTAGCTCTTGCATGACACTAGGGTGTTGTAGACGCTGTCCCTTGCTCCTGAGCATTCTTCAAGATTCCTGCTTACTAGTATTCTTCCTCTTGCTTCGTGTGCCCGTCTGCTGATATGATCACCACCTTGCTGCTGGCTCTACAAGCACATGATATCAGTCTCCTCAGGATATGATGTGTAGTACTGAGTTCGTGATTGGCTGAATTCCAGACCTGCAGTCGCTCTTCCAGTGCCCTTTTTCTGACATACCCATCACGCACCTTGTTGGAACTGATGACTTCTAATTCCAATTCCTTCTGCCGGTCAAGTGCTTTGAACTCCTTGCAACCGCTCAACAGCTGGATATAGGAATTTGTGTATTACAGCTCACATCACCCATGGAACAACTCTAAAGAGGAATTTTAGAAAAGACATCGTCAAAATGTCCAGTCCCTTTTGTGCTTTTTCAACAAGAAGCGCAGAAACACTCCACCAAATCATCACGACAAGTGTATTTCTCGAATTGCAGACATGCGCATTGTACATCATAATACACCGTGTATTGTAGAGACACGTTTTAGGTTGACAGCAATCTACGAAGCGGTGAAACACTGTGTTCGCCAATAGTGCCCCTTGCTAAAACCACCCACAGTTGATTGAGGCCCGGTCTTGCTAACATCTACAATATATGGGTGCTAGACCTGGTTCTGACCCTCATTATATTAGGGGAGTTACTAGTAATAGGGCAGGTTGAGAGTCAGCACAATGTCTAGCACCCATGCGGTTCAGAGTTGCGCCGTATAGTCAGACCTCGCTTGACCGCACACATCTGTTTTCCACAAAAAAATATCCGGATAGGCGAGGAAATCGGATAATCGGACAAAGATACTGTATGCATGCATGCCATATGCTGCAAATCGATAACCAACGATTTTCTTCCGGTTGGTGAGGGATCCGGATAAAAGAGGAGCGGATAAGCAAGCTCTGACAGTACCCTGGCTCTACCAACGCTACGGGCTTGTAGTAAGGGACGCTCTTTCCCAACCAGGCGTTCCACCGCTTTGTAATAATTATTATGCAGCGCAAAAGCGTGCCGCTATGTCATGAATACTGTGCGAAGGTTCAACAGGGCGATGACTCACGTCTGTTCATTTCCATGCTCCACCCTGTGAACATAATGATGCGTTCATAGATGTTTCAAAGTACGCATGATGTCACTTAGGCAGTTGTGCTGTTCCACAGTGTTTTTCACTCACAAAGCGACTGTTCAGTACATGGGGTAGTGGTCTACCAGAGCAATCACACTCACCACCGTGGTGGTTTTCCAGAAATGAGTAGAAGCAAAAAACCACACTCGCAGCCACATAATAGATAAATAGCCGAAAAACATCTAAATCCATCAAAGAACCGCCAGCAAGCGGGAGAAAAGGCCGTGAAATCAAGTGAAACAGCATGGCCAGTGGTGAGCATGGGTGACTGGGCAGCAGGGGAGCGCCTGAAAAACAATGACTCCCTACATTCCTAGCCGCGACCGCTCAACCGGGCTAGAGGAAAAACTCGCCTTTCGGCCAAAAAACCTTTCTACTTCATTAATTCCTGCCCCGCTGCCAGTCAGACCCAAGAATAGAGATAGCAAGAAATGGCATGTAATAACCGGTGTATGTCATAATCATAAGCCACACACATAGGCATAGATTGTCAAGAAGAACAGCGGACGACTCCCTTGAAACCAGGGTGGGTGGGCGGGCAACTTCAACTACCACGAGGAAAAACAAAGACCACGATGGCAGGTTCAATGGAGTTGCGCAGAACAAGAGCAAATGCACGAAAATATTTGTGAGTGAAAAATACGTTTTTTGCACTCTTTCGCTACGCTCAGCCGTGAAAAAACAAAACTTTCCAATTCCGCTCCTTTTCCTGGGTTGATTTTAACTTGTTGGCGTCATTTTGCACAAGAACTAGCTTGTTTGGAGTTGCGATATTAGCTTTAGCACCTTTTGAGTCTTTCTGAAAATATGCATGAGATTCAAGCAATCTTCACGTATTTTGGCATGGTTGCGAAAAGTGCAAGTCGCGTGTTAGCATCTTTGGGAAAGGGCTTTCCATGAGACTTACAGACTATGGGGTCACCCAATGTACGAATTCTGTATTTTTCCTCTACTACATGACCCATGCGGGGCCATGCCAAAATACGTGAAGATTCACCTTTGGGGACAAGGTATGGCGAGGGCGGCCAAGGACAACCATCGTGTCCACACTATCCGCGGACCTAGAATCAGCAGGACTGAGGAGTCTCAGGAACTTGGCAGACCTGGAGCACCTGCGGGCCATCGCCGCTGACAGGCCTGCGTGGCGCGAGCTGTGCCAGGATGTACGCAGCAACTAACGGATGGCACAGAGGCATTGTACAGATCCCGTGCATTTAGCACTTACCATCGACCATGAGTTACAAACCTATCGTCGTTGTCTGTTATTCTTGTTTTATTTTTTGATCTTTCGAATAGATCCCGTGCATTGAGCACCAATCATCGAACATGAGTTATGTGCCTATCGCCTGCTGTCTTACATTTATTTTTTACTTTTATTTATTTTTGTTTTCCTCCCTGCCCACTCTGCCTGTCTTCTGGCACATGCGAATACGTGGACTTACTGTTGACGTAAACGCGGGCGTGCGTATAATAATACTAACATGGCCCATGTGGAAAACACAGATCTTGTCCGCTCGTGTGATCCGTCACGTGTGGCTCTAGCTGGCTGTACACAAACACACAGACACACACACACACGCTCACACACATGCTCAAACACACACACACTTAGACACAAACAGACACACACACGTTCGCAGATACGCCTGGTCGCCTGTGTAAGTTTGCCAACCATCTGTTACTATTGCTATCACGATAGGATGGAGAAGATCGTCTTTTCTCCATATTCGGTTCTCTGCCATAATCTACTTGAATTTTATCTATTAATTTTGATGCTGTTTGTTCAGATAACACTGAAAAAATGAGGAGAGGAAGTGCATCGCCAAGGGCTCCTCCTTCATCACCATCATCCTCGTCATCATCAAGCTCAAAGCCAGGTGAATCCGGTATTGGTCTCCTCGCTGAAGCAAAGCGGCTCTATAAGTCGGTTAATAAATCCGATAAAGCAAAAGCCTCTGCCGTTGGGCCTTCAAAAAAGAAATATTCATCATCGTCATCACTGTCATCCTCAAAGTCAGATGACGTCACTGATGGTTTGGGTGCTAGAGTAAATCGTGGCTATAAGGCGATGAGAGCGGGACTTCAAGCAAAAACAGTCAAAGCTATCTATTACCCTCCAAAAAAGAAATATACATCATCATCATCCTCATCCTCACAGCCAGATGCTGAAGTCTCTGTTGGTCGCATCGCCAAAGCAAAGCGGACCCCGAAGGCGCCGAGAGAAAGACGTCAAGGAAAGGCAGAAGAATCTGTCGTTGTGCCTTCAAAAAGGAAATATTCATCATCATCATCATCGTCATCATCAGAGCCAGGTGATGTAGTCACTGTTGGTCGCATCGCTAAAGCACTGCGGGGCCTGGAGGCACTAGAAGAAAGACATAAAGTAGAAGCAGAAGAATCTGTCTTTGTGCCTTCAAAAAGGAAATGCTCATCATCATCATCATCATCATCGTCATCCTCACAGCCAGATGATGAAGTCTCTGTTGGTCGCATCGCTAAAGCAAAGCGGGCCCTGAAGGCGCTGAGTAAAAGACGTCAAGAAAATGCATCTGTCGCATCCACACAACTAGGAGCATCAGGAGCACAGCAAGTGGCACGAGAAGCAGCTGTGGACAGTCCTGGAGGAGATGCCGTTCGAAGAGTAGGGACCATTGCAGCCCAAGAAGATGCTAGTCAATTCGCCTCAGCGCTCCCTCAAACCGCAGGAATGGCCCCTCCAAGATCGGGCTCTCGAATTCGAGGAGCGGGCCATCCAGGATGGATAGTTCCACAAACCGCAGGAGTGACCAATCCAAGAGCAAAATCGGGCCCTCGAACTCGAGGAGGGCCACGTCCAAGATCAACAAGTGGCCTTCGACGCCCAACAGTGGTCAATTCACAAGCATCAATGCTCTATCCAAACGAACCACTGGCCTGTCCTCCACAACAATTTTTCCATAATCAAAGCGCCGCAGTGGCTCATCCAACAGGAAAAGTCCTTCGAAGAATACAGCCCATTCCGGTCCCAGGAGGGTGCACTAAATTCGCACCAGGGTTCACGCCACCCGCAGCAGGAGGGGCCCCTCAACCAGCAGCACCACCACCACCATCACCTACACCATCACAAACACCCTCACTAACACCACCATCGCCATCACCATCACCATCACCATCGTCATCACCATCACCATCGCCATTGTCATCACCATCACCATCACCATCACCATCACCGCCACCAGCACCAAACAAGCGCTTAAATGATCCTGATTGGGACCTTGTGACAGTGAACGGTACTCAAATAGTGGACAAAAGGGATGTGCTATTGATAACACTAGGTGAGCAGATCTATGAACATGGACGTCGCTCACTGTGCAAAGCCCACGACAACATGGCAAACCAACCCGTAAGTACTACATGTTCTAGCTCTCATGACTGAATAATGTCTCAATTACATCGATGACCTGGTTAAGGCGACTCAAGGAACCATACAAATGTGGTCTCGTTGATCACGTGGTCTCCGTATTCATAACACATTTGACTTGAAACAGAAAACCAGTCATGACCTCGAATACTGCCAGACGCCAATATTCGTTTTGTATTTTGAAGATGAAGTTGGTTGTTCTCATCTTCCCCTCGGCAAACCTGCAATTAAGAATCACTCCCTGCCCAATACACAGTATCTCGGGGAATTCACTCTTCATCAGTTGAGCTTGAGTAGTCTGAGGAAGATTGGGCCTGATAAAGCACCAATAAATTCTATATACTGCTCTCCGCGCCAAACCATCTCCAGGGATACAAACCAACAGAGATGCTTCGCTTCCAGCGCCACAAACACCTTGTTAGGCCCCAGGTAGCAGGGTCAGTCATACAGTGCTGGCAACTGAAATCCGACCCCCAGGGCGGCGCGCCAGGCCGCCCTGGGTCGGATTTCAGTTGCCAGCGCTGTAGTTGCTCATGGAGGTGTGATAAACAGACGGTTAGAGCCAGTAGCTATTCAGAACACTGTCACCTCCTACAACTCGTCGCCCGTCGGTGTGAGTGACAACAGCATCTCCGTAAGTTTGTGTCTATAGAACTTTATAAGTGGTGCTTTTCAGGCACAGTCGTCTTGAGCCTACTCAAGCTTAACCCATGAGTGTTGAATTCCTCGAAAGACTGTGTATTGAGCAGGGAGTAGTGGTTTCTTGCAGGTTTGCCGAGTGGAAGGTGCCTCGTGCTCCTGGTGTGCTTCGGAGGGGATAGTGAGTCAGTCAAGTGTCAAGTTCGACAGGAAGCGTGTTTTCGTCGTGAAACCACCAACTTCATCACCATTACCGTCCAAGTCACAACTTCTAACTTAGGATTGTTGTCAGTCACGAGGATGTGCGACTAGTTGTTGGCGATGATAGTGTTGGGAATAGATACTGGCTCTCAACGTCTGTTTAGCACAACTCCATGACCGACTCTGACTGACGCTGGTACCTGGAGCCTAACGAGGTGTTTGTCGCGCTGGAAACGAAATGTATGTGTTAGTTTGTATTCCTGGCAATGGTTTGGCTTGAAGCATGTTTTATTGACCGCCAGGAAAGAAAGAATGGCACTCAAACATTACACCATGGAGGCAGAAATGAACTCGATCCCTAGCCTAGGCTCAATGAGGTCGTGTATTTGTGCAAATTTCAACGGGATCCAAGTAAAACTCCAACAAACCTCCCATCAACACAGTGGAAGCCAGAGGCGAAAACGAGAGAAACGAATTCAAACATCACAAAACGAAAGCAATTATATAATATCAACACAGTCAACAAAAAGGGAATCAGCCATTCGATAGACAAGTATCAGACAAGTACACTATATAAGGGATGCTTTTCAGGCACAATCTTCCTTATAGTATAATGAGTTGCATAATTCCAGTGTTTATGGAAGAGAGGGTGTGGGCTCTACTCCTAACTGTTTATGACATTGCAAGAAGCCTACCCACTTTTACTTAATGTTCCTTAGCTTACTCAATTCCCTTAACCACATGTGTATTGACTAAGAAGTGATGCTTTCTTGAAGGCTTGCTGAGTGTAAGTTGCGACGTGCTCCTTGTGTGCTCCGGATGGCAGTCGGAGTCAGTCAAGTGTGAGGTTCGGCAAGAAGCGTGTGTTTCTTGTTGGAATATCCAACTTCATAACTAATACTGCCGAAGTCGCAACTTTAAAGTTCGTATTTTGAAGAGCTGCGGAAATCTCTTGAGCCTGGTTTCAAGCGGACCTCTGGGACAGGCTGTCGCCTTATCAGAGTAATATCCTCAAGAGATTTTCTCTATGACTGGATTAGGCCTGAATTCGGCCTGATTTGTGTCTGAGTTCTTCGTGTCTCTGTGTTTGTAGGTTATCGTAAAGATTATTCGCAAAGTATTGACTGACATTGATGGGAATGAGTCTAGTTTCGTTATGGACGAGTTCTATGTCGGCAAGTATTTGGAACATCCGGCTTTCATGCGCACCTTTGCTGCCTATCAAACAAGCCATGCCTACTATCTGGTACTGGAATATATTCACGGAAGTAAGTTGTCACGCACATGTATAAACTTAATGCATTTTCGTCGCCTCGTTTCCCCGACTCATTCCCGCACTCTTTTCAGTAATAGATTATTGTTCTTCCATCCAAAAGTAAATACAGGTAAAGGGGACATCAGCAGTGGCTCTAATAACCCTGACATTTATGTCCTCAGGATGCCAACAAAATCGCGATATTTGCATAGTTGTTATACCATGAAAATGCTGGCCAAATGTGACGAAATACGGATCAATGCACACATACAAACAGACACACACACACACACGCACGCACGCACACGCACGCACACACATGTGTCATTGTGCATATACATGCACAGGAGCTTCAAGAAGAAATTGCGTTATTAAACACGCTGCAATGATGCTCCAACGATGGGCTTTATTCATACTTTCAATGAACCCTGGCTCAAGTCAGAGCCTGGCTGAATGACAAAACAGTCTCCACGTTACAGGCCTGCCATGCCAGTTTCAAGTAGTTGGTCTTACATGATACACGGCCTTTATGCTAGTTTGGACCAAATATTGGACCACTGCCAGCATATTGCCGGCCCCCATATGCCAAAATCCACTTTCATGCTAGTTAGCATCCATTCAGCCGCTTGTATTAAAGGGACGACCTCGTAGCACGCCCTAAACCTAAACAAATTAAAAAATTGACTTTGGCCTGTGTGAGTGTGAGAGAGAACGCCCACTCCTGCCGTTGTGAAAGATTCCAGGGCCACTTTGAAGGGCCCTATCCCACCACCCATGGCTGCTTCTGGACTTTTTTTAGGTTTGGATCCCGCACACGGACGGAATGGGCAAAAAAATATGCAAAAATTGTATATGCATTTTTTTGGCTCCTGAGTGGCTCGCCTACCGTGGCACTATGCGGGAATTTATGAGTTTTTCTGGCCTGGAAAGCCTTTCAGTGAGGCGCAAGAACTTTTAAATCATGTCCTGAGGACCAGCATGGTAGCAGGAGTGTGTGGTGAAAATCTCACTCAAATCCATTGAGAGACACCAAAGTTACGGTCAATTGAATGCCATATGAAATTTACGACCAGGCTGCTACCTTATTAATGACATTGTACATGATCATCACCGCGTGCGCCCGATCTAATCATTGATTGTTTTTATTTATGTTTTGGCCGTGCAAGAGGCTTTGAGATGAAAAAAAAGTTTGCACATTCGTACGTGCCATAAGTGGGTGCACATCACCATAAATGCGTACATCACACTGACCACGTGCTACCACAGGACCTCAAGACTTGCCAAAGACTTTCCACTTTTTGCTACTTTACTTCGCTAGGTACTCACTTGTTCTGGGCCACTGTGTAGTTCGTATCTCTTGAGTTATCTTCTTCCTTTGAAGTATCTTCTTTCTTTCTTATACATGTATGTCTACTACTTTTCTTTTGTTGATTTCTTTCTTTTTTCTCTTCTTCCGTGGTTGGTCTCACCCTCTCCTCAATTCAATGGGCTGTTTTGACATGCCACGAGGTGCAGAAATAGATAAATAAACGAGAGAGCTTGGAAGCTCAGGGCCCTACGCTATGCTTTTTTTGCCTTGATGACCTAGACAAAAAAAGCATAATAATAATAATAATAATGACAGTTCGCATTTCACTCATTGCATGAGGTCAACGCATCTGTTAACAATTTCGAGCCAAGCAGCTCTATCAGAAGCAGATTGCACAGCATCCAGAAGCGACAGATTAATGCATTGTAAGTCTTTCTTGACAACGTCGATCCATCTCAGACGTGGCCGTCCTCGGGGTCGTCGTATGTCTGTTGTGTTGATCGACATTAGGAGGGCTTGGAAAGAGGACGATTCTTCGCCTTCCCTCACTACATGGCCGAACCACAGCAGTCTCCGTTGCCTGCAGACTTGGGATAGTGGGGTCTGCTCGGTTCTGGCATACAGCGCTGTGTTCGAGATTCGTTGTGGGTACGTGATACCAATGATGGTACGTAGTTTCTTCCGGTGCCATACATTGACGACGTCGGTTAATGTTTGCGATAAGGTCCAAAGCGCACAATTATACAGCAAGACAGGCAATATCAGGCAGGAAAACATACACAGCCTGGAATTCAGGTTGTGGCGTTTCCATGGAATGCCTGCAAATGCCCGATTTGCAGCAGACACTCTAGCTGCTATGTCTTCTGCTGTGCCTAGCATACTCCCCAGCAGCTTCACCGATTTCCAGGAATCATCTTCCTTGGTCACAGTGAAATATTGAGTTTTTGCCACGTTCAGCTTCAGATTGTCATCCGAGAAAACGGGTTCACACACACGGACGGTTTCTTCCACAGATGATCGCTCGTTCTGATGGGCAGTGGTGTCGTCTGCGTATTGTGTGAAAGTTGCTGGTAGGTCTGACGCGGGTAGAGCTTGCTCTCGGATCCTACGCATGGAACCTTCGGCGTAAGTTATAAACATTATTGGTGACATTGGGTCACCCTGGACGACGCCGATGTTTGTTGGAAATGGTTTGCTTAGTTGTTTACCAAGCTTCGTGCGGGCTGTTGTGTTTGATACTAGGACTGCAGTGGTGGACGTTGGTGCGCCAGCAGTGGCTAACCTCTCCAGAGCAACCTGACGAATGACAGTGTCAAACGCACCGCTGAAGTCCAATAGTGCCGATGAATATGACCAGTCGCCAAGTAGTGCGCGCTCACACATCGTCCTGGCGTAAAAGACACCATCCGTGGTCGATCTGCCAGGGCGGAAACCAGCTTGGCTCTCTGCCACATATGACTGCACATGGAGTGTGTGTCGTCGAGTGAGTATTGACGTCAAGATCTTACGGACGACGGAAAGGAGCATAACGGGGCGGTAGCTTTTTGGATGTCCTAGAGGCTTGCCGGCTTTGTAGATGGGAACGATGAGGCCGCAGCGCATGTCGTCAGGACAGTACTCTGTAGCTTGAACAGCGTTGAAGAAATTCGTCAGCCAGGGTGCGAAAAGGTTTTTAGCTGACTTCAAAGCATCAGCACTGATACCATCAGGACCGACAGCACCACCAGACTTCTGCTTGATAATTGCAGACCGTACTTCTTCGATTGTGAATGGATCTTCCTCATTCGATTGCTGCCTGAGGTCGAGTGGCTGGCCATCAGTGTAAAATACCGATTCATAATATTCATTAAAGGCATTAAGATTCCATGAGATGTCTGCCATGATTCTGCCGTCTGCGTCAGCAAGACGCACAGGCGCAGCCTTCTTCCCAGAGCGTAGTTGGCGTAAGTTGTTGATGGCGTTGAAGTAGGACCGTGGGTCAGGGCGTAAAGCATCTACTTCAACAGCCTTACGTTGCCAATATTGCTCGCCCTCCTTCTGTAGTATCCTTCGAATCTCGTGGAGTTTTGCAGATCTTTCAATCTTTAAAGCTTTACGTTGCTCTGGATCAGGTTCAGCGTTTATGCGGCAGTGCAGATTCTTCTGTTCAGTGGATAAGGATGCAACGCGAGGGTTCGTGCTTGCTTTCGGAGCAGAACCAGTGGGCACTTTCCCGAATGCTTCCTGCGCTGCATCATGCGTAGCCCAGACGAATCCACGCCATGCCTTATCCACGGTGGCATTGTCGATGTTTGCGGAGAGTGGAAGCAGAGAAGGTAACTTCTCCTTGAGACGGTCGCAGAACAGTTTCGACGATTCAGCGGTTGGACGGTTATAGCGATTGAAACATGGGTCTTGTTGTTTGACGGTCGGATGGACTTTAGAAAGTGCGATGCCAAGAACTGCAATAACAGGGTGATGATCAGAGCGCGTGGTGAAGCCTCCAAACGATCTTGCATCTAGAACTGCGGCCATGGTGGAACGTTTTACTATCACGTAATCTATCATATTCCGCACAGGCTTTCCATCCGCATGCACTAAACCATCAGAAAACCATGTTGAGCGATGTTGCATCCTGTGCTTGAATAGTGTGTTGGTTAGCACCAGCCGGTTGTCCTCGCAAAATTCTACAAGTCTGCATCCATTTGAGTTTGATATAGTGTGTTTAGAGTAGCATCCAACAGGGCTGACAGATCCCGGCCTCGAACTCCCAACTTTAGCATTCAAATCTCCTAATATCCATAATTCGTCACGGTTCTTCGTTTTCAATACAACATTGTTGAGAAGTTCGTAGAAGTTGTCAGCTTCCTGAGGGTTGATGGTGGATCGTTGAAGAGTTGGGGCATAGCAGCACACGACCGTGACAGCTCGACTGTCAGGTC